CCACAGTTTATTAATTATTTGGTTATGTTAGGAAGTACAGAAATTATTTAGAAACAAGATTTATACCTGGTTTTCTCCCTAGCTCACATAAGCCAGTCCCTGCAAGGACTCTTTGCTCAGTGCTTTTCTAGATGAATTGCAAAAGTCAGGACATCTGGATTCTGTTCCCAGACATGGAGGAGAGCTTGGGTAAGTGAGTCACTTTCCCTGACACCTATCAACAAAAAGAACTGATGAAGCCCTGGCCGGTTTGGCTCAGCGGGTAGAGTGCCGGCTGCAGTCCAGAGAAACCCGGGTTTGGTTCCCGCTAAGGGCATGTACCTCGGTTGCAGTTTGTCCCCGGCCCTGGTTGGTTGTGCGGGTGGCAGCCACTCGATGTGTCCCTTTCACGTCGATGTTTCTCTCTCTCTCTCTCTCTCTCTCTCTTCCTCTCTCTCCCTCCCACTCTGTCTGAATAAAGAATGGAAAAAAGTCCTCCAGTGAGGATTAAAAAAAAAAAAAAAAAGAACTGATGAAGTTAAAAGGAGAGTATGCATAATTTTAATTTTCTGTGCAAAATGTGATAATCACTTCATAATGAAGTTGCTTTGGAACTAGGTCTGTTGTCTGGTCAGTGTGGCTCAATGGTTGAGCGTCAACTCATGCACCAAGAGGTCGCCAGTTCCATTTCCAGTCAGGACACATGCCTGGGTTGTGGGCCAAATCCCCAGTGAGGGGCATGCAGGAGGTGGCTAATCAATATTCTCTCTCATTGATGTTTCTATCTCTCTCTCCCTCTGACTTCCTTCTCTCTAAAATCAATAAAGGAAAAAAAAAAGAACCTAGGTCTGCTTATCCAAAATAAGTGATCAATCTTGAGTCAGTTCCCTGGGAATAGACATTAATCTTTTTCCCATTGATTTTTTATTTTTTAGAGAGAGTGGAAGGGAGGGAGGTAGAGAGAGAGAGAAAGAGAGACAGAAACATCAATGTTGAGAGAGGCACATTGATTGGTTGCCTCCCACACAGCCCTGGTCAGGGCTCAGGAACCTGCAACCCAGGCACATGCCCTTGACTGGAATCAATCCCATGACCCTTTGGTCTGTGGGCCAATGCTCTAATGGCTGAGCCAAACTGGCCAGGGCAAAGATATTACTTTTTAAAAATTTTTATATACATAGTAACCCATTCATTGAATTCTTCCAGCTTAAAAATTTTCTGTACCACAGGCCGACGCTCTAACTGCTGAGCCAAACTGGCCAGGGCGAGCTTAAAAATTTTAATCGTTTGTAAGGGTCATTAAATAGTTAACTAGAGGGATAGCACTGAAAATGATAATATCAAACAGCCATAGGATTTTTCTCCAGTTTCCACACTACATAAATCTATTCATTTAGCAAATATTGAATGCCTACCTTGCACAACTTGGATCCATCAGTGAATAACAAAGCAAAAAACCCTGCGGTCAGAGAGGGGAGTGGGAGAAAGGCGGGGGAGCCCATAGCAAACAGTTGAAGTAAGTAAAGTCCATAACATGCTGGAAATTGATAAATATGATGGAAAAATAGAAAAATTAGCCCTGGCCGATTAGAGTGTCAGCCCGTGGACCAGATTGTCCTGGGTTTGGTTCCTGCTAAGGGCATGTACCTTGGTTGCAGTTTGTCCCCGACCCTGGTTGGGGTCGTGTGGGTGGCAACCAGTCGATGTGTCTCTCTCACATTAATGTTTCTCTCTCTCTCTTCTTCCCTCTCCCCCTCCCACTCTATCTGAAGATAAATGCAAAAATGTCCTCGGGTGAGGAAAAAAAAAAAAGAGAGAGAATTCGAGCAGGGTAAAGGGAGATCAGCAGCATGAGAAACTGGGGAAGGTTGGAGCTGCAATTTTAATCAGGGTGGTAACAAAGTACATTCATGGAGAAGATGACATTTAAGCAAAGACTTGAAGGAGATGAGAGTTGGTAAATAAGGGAGAACAGAGTTCCAGATACCTGTGCAAGGATGGGTGTGGAGAGTGAGTCTTGTGTGCAAGGAAGACCAGCTAGGGGGACCATGTGGCCAAGATGGGGTGATCGAGGGGGAGGGTCATAGGAGGGAAAGTCCAAATTTAAATGTTTGCTTCCTTCTGGTTTCTTAGTAGCAATACAGAATTCCAGCTTCTGTGTTTTAAAAACATTAATTAACGTGTCTTATTTTTTAGAGTTACTTATAGACAGGTGGATCATTAGATATAGTTCTATATATCTAAATATACACATAGTTTCTAGTAAAATGTGTGTATGTTTTCTTTATCCATTCATTCATCAACAGACACTTATATTGTTTCCATGTCTTGGCTATTGTGAATAATGCTGCAATAAGCATGGTGCAGATATCTCTTCATGATAGTGATTTTAATTCTTTCTAATATAAACCCAGAAGTAGGATCACTGGGTCATATAATAGTTCTATTTTTAACTTTTTGAGGCCCCTCCCTAGTGTTTTCCATAATGGCTGTACCAATTTACATTACCACAAATAGTGAATAGGGTTTCCTTTTCTCCACATCTTTGCCAAGATTTATGTCTTGTCTGTCTTGTAATAGCCATTCTGACACGTGTGAGGTAATGTGCATTTCCCTGATGATTAGTGATGTTGAGCACCTTTTCACATACCTGTTGGCAATTTGTATGTCTTCTTTGGAAAAATGCCTATTCAGGTCCTTTGCCCATGTTTACATTGGATTATTTTTACCATTATGTTGTATGGGTTTCTTAGAATTTTGAAGGTAAACCCCTTGCAGCTATATGGTTTGCAAATATTTTTTTCCCATTCTGTAGGTTGCCTTTTTATTTTACTGATTGTTTCTTTTGTTATTGTGGAAGAGGAACAAAATTTCTCTACCCTCAAGGTTCTTCTGACTGGTCTAATAATCAAATAGACATGAGACAGATTAGCAAAAGAAAATAACCAAATTTAATACGCACATATGTATGGGAACCCCGCATACATGAGAGAGTCTGAGACCCACGTGCATGACAGATTCAGAGATGAAAAGGTGGTGTGGGGGTGTATAAGACATCCTGAGCTAGAGATGAGGTAACACCTTGGGAGCTTCAAAGGATCATTGCAGGATGATAAGAGCAGCTGTTTAGTTAATAAAAGTTTGCACTGTCATATAGGTGGGTTGAAAAGGTTATCACTGATAATCTCTTATGGGCTAGGCCCCTAATTCAAATTCTTCTAGGTAGTTAAGGAGGTGTAGAGGGTAGAAGTTTCTCCTGAGCCTGTAGCTAAAGTTGCCTTTAGCTCAAAACACTTTGCTTATCACAGAGGCACATCTTGGGGTGACTTGTTCTGGACCCCCACACTGTGCAGCTGTCCAGTTTGATGTAGTCCCACTTTTTATTTTTGCCTTTGTTGCTTGTGCTTTGGTATCAGATCCAAAAAAAAAAAAAACATTGCTAAGACCAATGTCAAGGAGCTTTCCCCTCTGTTTCCTTCTAGGAATTTCTTTTTAAATTTGTATTTATTTATTTAATCTTCACTCACCCAAGGACATTCTTATCCTCACCCAAGGACATTTTTCCACTTTTTTGTTCAGATAGAGTGGGAGGGAAAGAGAGGAAGAGAGAGAGAGAGACAGAGAGAGAGAGAGAGAGAGAGAGAGAGAGAGAGAAAGAAACATCGACGTGAAAGGGACACATCGAGTGGCTGCCACCTGCACAACCCAACCAAGGCCGGGGACAAACTGCAACCAAGATACCTGCCCTTAGCGGGAACCAACCCGGTCCCTCTGGACCGCAGGCTGAGGTTCTAACCGCTGAGCCAAACCGGCCAGGGCCGTGGATTTTTTTTTTTTTTCCCAAAAATAAAGTTGGGGGTGGAGATGGAGAAAAACATCAGTGTGAGAGGGACACATAGACTGGTTGCCTCCCGCCTGTGCCCTGGCCGGAATCAAATGGATACTCTTTCGTCCACCGCGAACACTCGAACAGCTGAGCCAAACTGGCCAGGGCTAAATTTTTATTGATTGATTTTTAGAGAGAGAGAGATATTGTCACTTATCCATGCATTCATCGGCTATGTGCCCCCAACAGGGTTCGAACCCACAACCTTGGTATATGGGAACGACACTCCAATCAACTGAGCTACACGGCCAGGACTTGTCTAAAATTTTTATGTTTTCAGGTCTTACATTGAAGTCTTTAATTCATTTCAAGTTAATTGTCTGAACTTTTTTATCTTGGACATCCTTAACCATTTCACTCAGCTGTTATCCAGTTAAATGATACCAAACACTAAATACAATCTCTCTTGCAAGCACTGATATTTGTTGTAACAACCTTTCCTAGAGGAGTAGCTATGTCCTATTCTTGCCTTTACCAAAGGTACTTTGTATTTAATTGTTCCCTCCTTCATCAGGACTCTCCCCAATCTTTGTGGAAACAGATTTTCTAGGAACTGATTCATTCACTCATTCGTTCATTCGTTCGTGAAACAATTATTTCCTCAGAACCTGCTACAAACCAAATATTGGGTAGATGCCGAAGATGCCGGTGGGGAGCAAGGGCAACACTCTCGGTCTGAAAGGGTGTGCCCACACCGCCGTTCAGTAAGCCAAGAGCATGGCAGCAACACGCTGGCATCTCAGAAAACTGGACAGGGCTCCCTCCCCGCCACGCAAGTCACTGCGCACTTCGGGGAAGGCTTTGATGCTGAGAGAATGTTAAGTAAAGTAAATGCAGAAGGAATGAGAGTGCCTGCCATTCAGGCAAAAAACAAGTCAACGCGGTCAGAGCGAGCAGCAAGCAGAACTCCCTGGAGAAGCACACTGCGTGCTTCGCAGGCTCTCGGTCGGAGTACGGGGCGGATGGTGACCCCGACCACTCTCCAGGGCCTGAGGGCTGCGGACGGGGCTGCCCTTCACGGTCCACCCCCGTCTCCCGGGTCCAGAGGATGTCCTTTGTCCCCGGGGACCGGGGCTCGCCCAGCCAGTTCCGTGGGGAGAGGCTGGGTGTGCAGGGGTGTCGGCCCCGCCCTGGGAGAGGCGGGCCGGCCCCGAGTATTTGAGGCGCAGAGCTGCCGCCCCGTCCTGGACAAAACGGCCTCGCCAGGAGCCACACACGGAGCAAGCGAGCCAGTGCCTTGCAGCGGGGTGAGTGGTGGGCGCCGGGACCGGGACCGGGACCGGGACCGGGACCGGGACCGGGACCGGGGGACGAGGACCCGCCTGCTGGCTGCTCGGGCCGGGCAGGAGCGAGGGCGCCCGGGGAACTGCTCCGCGCGCCGCCCCCTTTGGAGGGCTCGAGGGGAGCCTGGGGAGGGGTTGGCTTCCCGGGGCCCTGGGCAGCGGGCGCGGACAGCTGGGTGGCCCTGAACGGAGCTGTGGGCACCGTCTGGAGCCCTCGGGAGAGCGGGCGCAGGGAGAGTAAGTACGTCTCACTAGGACTCACGTACACCTCCTCCGGGCGGACGGGCGTGTCAGCGGGCGTCGGGCGTGGGCGCAGGGCACCCTCCGCGGCCCCTGGGAGGCTGAGCGTCCCGCCCTCCCGCTGCCGGACCACCTCGGAATCAACTGGGTCCGCCTGCGAGAGGGTGGGGACGGGACGCGCTCAAGCTCGGTGTTAGGAACTGGGTCCGCTAACCCAGCTCACAGAGTGTAGCCCAGGGACTCTCTAGGGCGGCACTGGGGACCCAGGACTGGGCTGCCCGCCACTTGATCTCGCTGAGGAGTGCGAATAAATTCGTCTACCAAGCCAGCAGCGTCAGGGGTACAGCTGCCCTCTGGATGCTGAGCCCACAGAAAATGACGCTGCCCCATGGCCTGAATGGGCATGTACCCGGCTTGGTGACGACCGAAAATGCTAAACTTGTGCAAATCAGCGACTCGTCCCTGATTAGATTGGCTAATTTGAGCCTTAACGATCCCAGATCTGTGCTGAGGCTGTGTGGGGTGTGGCAAAATGTTCAGAATGCGCTGAGGATGTGTTGGGTGTGGCGAAATGTTGTTCCGAATGTGCAGAGCCCTAGTTGAGCGGGTGTGTGTGTGTGTGTGTGTGTGTGTGTGTGTGTGAGAGAGAGAGAGAGAGAGAGAGAGAGAGAGAGAGAGAGAGAGAGAGAGAGGGAATTGGGGACACATAGGTGGAAGCTGTGACTTAGGTTTCAGTCCTGCCCCTTAAAGTTAGTGATTCCTGTTCCAGATACTGTGGAATATTTGTAAAGTGACTCTTGGGAGTTGGGTTGCTGGACAATGAGAATGGTTTGATCTCAGTGACCCAGTCTGTTTCCAGCATTTTGGGAAAGAAATGGAAGGCAGGTCAGTTAATTCTGAGAAAGAGAGAGAGAGAGAGAGAGAGAGAGAGAGAGAGAGAGAGAGATTGACCACTTGGGCACAGAACAAGAGAACAAATTTTCACCAACTTCCAAAGTTCTGACTCATTTGCCTCAAGTTTTAACATTTCTCTTTCATACTAAGAAATTCTGTTTCCATAAAAGTAAAAATTTAATGATACAAATGTATTTTTCCACAATGGTCTCCTTTTCAGATATTGACTGAATCCCCTGAGTAGAGTTTCTCATTCCTTTGATGGTTATGCCTCATCCTTGATCTTTGGGAGATTGGAGCTGCTTCCTAAATTCATAATGTTGAGGGTTACACTGAGAATCAGCACTTACTTCATATTCTGGGGAGAAATTTGATTATGTCCTTGAATGTTCGTGAGAGCCATGTAATTGATCTAAAAGATAGCCTCTCTTTCCTGTGACAGTTTGTAACACAGGCTCCTACTGAGGACAGCTAGGTAACATTTTGTCTGGCGCCTGAACTGGTTCTTCTCATTAAATCCTGAGTGGTAAGCCTGCCAGGATAGCGCTTGCTGTAGGCTTACAATTTGCTGCTGCCAAAGTATCATGTGTTCTCTCCACTGATGATCGGCTTTTCCATAGGGGAAAAAAATCAGTAACTGAGAGGCATAAAGTAACTTTACCTTCCTTGATGCTGAGGAAATATGATGAGAAAGAAATCCTAGTAAAGGACCAGGTTTTTTTATTCCAACCAATTCTCACTGAATTTGGCTTTGGAAAGTGAGACTTTCCTCAAGCCCTGCTCTGTGTTTAAGCAAGGGCAGGAAGTAGACCACCTGGCCTGTGTTCTTTGGAAAGTAGTGTGGGCAGTGCCTTGGGGTTCTGAGGAAATATACTCATGATCTACTTCCCTTATGGCTTGTGTAAAGGTCAGGGTCCTTTGTGAAGAGAAATTTCAGAAGTGCTCTGAGGAGCCCCAGCAACTGGATTAATTGCTAGGTGAGCCTAGAATGACATAGTAGTGTGGATACCACTTTTTATTACAGGGAAAAGCTACAATTAACAGATGATTCAAATGGTCAACCTTCAGACTCATGTTTCAATTCCTTATTCTAAAGCAAACCAAACTACTTCCTGTAGGTTTTTCCAAATGTGAAGTCCTGGCAGTATGCACTGTCTTTTTTTGTTTGTCTTTAATGGAATGTTTCTTTTCTGATTCTTCAAAATTCTCTGATTCTGGACATGCCAGAACGGAGTTCACATATGTACAGATTCTACAGAGGGGGAAGATTTAAAAAAATATATTGGTTGTCTCTCTAGATAGAAATTATTCATCTAAAAAATAAGAATAAAAATATAAATAAATAAATAATTTTTCCAGGGAAGTAAGGAAGATAGTTATCTAAACAGATGTGTTTTGTTTTTATCTATCTATTTATTTATTTTAAGTTCTAAGGTTGTTAATCTTGATTTCAAAAGAGCATTGGTTATAACCCTTTTCAAAAAAGAGATCTGATGGTTATGACTTGACAAAATCAAAACAGTGCACACCCAGTTTTGGAAAAGTACACATGTTGGTTGAAATGTGTTTATAATTAGCCAAGAGACTGTGCAGAATGGCATTATTGTGTTCAACATCCTTGCACACTGAGTGAATCACCCAGCTAGTTTTCTGACAAAAACATGGTCTCTTTTTAAATTTGTTTACAATTTCAGCATGTTATGCAGTTCTGAATGAATAAGCTAGATCACTTCTTTTTTTAATTTTTATCTATTTTTTTAATCTTCACCCGAGGATATTTTCCATTGAATTTTCAGATAGAGTGGGAGGGAAGGAGGGAGAGAGAGAAACATTGATATGAGCGAGACATTGACTGGTTGCCTCCTGCCAGACCCCAACTAGGGCCAGAACCGAACCCCAACTGAGGTATGTGCCCTTGACCAGAATCAAACCCACAACTCTTTGGTCTGCAGGCTGATGCTCTAACCGCTGAGCCAAATCGATCAGAGCTAAGCTAGATCATTTCTAAATGAAGTAATTAACGCTTTCAAAGGACAGCACTTACAGAGTCAAAGTGTGAGGTTTTATATATTGGTGTGGAATGAGCCTGCATTAGGAGTCAGGTTGCATGGACCCTGGTCCTTGGCTGGCTGATGAAAGAATGGCTTTGAGCCACCATGTCAGCTCTCTGAGCCTCAGTTTCCTCACCTCTAAAGTGGGAATGTTAACTTTTCCCTGTCACTCTCATAAGATTATTATCAGGATCAAAATAGGTAAGGTACGTGAAAGTGCCTTGTAAGCTGCAGAGCACCACACAAATGCAGGGTGTAATTATTCTGATTGGCTTGTCTAATGTATCAAACACAATCCAAACTGTCATCCAAGGTGTTATATGAAACACAGAGTGAAATCTACCTGGTTTCTCCAATTGTTTTGGCTGTGTTGGAAAATAAACTGAATATGCTTGAGCAAAGACTTTGAAAAGAACACAGGTTAAATTTTATAAATGCCAGTTTTATGTAAATTTCTGGTTGTAATCAGCCTTTAAACACATCTTAGTTTGATTGGAGTTATGATAATAAGACGCCAATGGCACAGATTTAGCTAGTTTTAGTCATTGAAACTACCTTTGTTTTTTATTGACCTGTGTATGTAGACATATGTAGGGAACCACATGCTAATTAGCCTAGACCAATGATTCTCAACCAGGCAGATTTGCCTTTTCCCCACTTCCCCCAGTGACATCTGGCAATGTCTGAAGATATTTTTGGTTGTCACAATTGGTGGTGGTGTGGGGGGGCGTGTTACTGACTACACTGAAATCAGGGATGCTGCTAAACATCCTACAATGCATAGGGCAGCCCCCTGAACACAAAGTATCTAACCTGAAATGTTGATGGTGCTGAGGTTAGGCATAAACGTTTACATAATGGGGATATGTAAAAGAAGTGAAAACACTTATAAAGTTATTGCTGCGTCTTTGACACGTTGCCCAGGAGTGGAAGAAGACTTTATGGAATCAAAATAACTAAGCTTTCAGATTGTTTTCTACTAGTATCTCAAATGAGAAAGGCTTTATTTTCTTGACTTAAGAAATGTCCTTTCTTTACCTTTTCGGTAACAATTCTTCTCCCGAGTTCCCCTGCAGTGGCGGCCGGTTAGGGAAGGAAGCGCAGGCAGAGGAGCACCCAACCTTTTCAAGGTCAAGTCCTACAGAAATGCAGTGAGCAGGGCCCTGGGAGAGCCCTGGGCCTCCCACCCAACTGGCAGCGGTTTCCACTGTGGAAGGTGGAAGCGGTGATAACCCGTTTCCAACCATGTTTGAGAATGGCCAGAGGAACCGGAGAGGTGCGGAAAAGAAAGATCGTGTGTATAAGTGAAGCACACTTGGGGTCCTAGGAGGAGCTCTGTCTGTTTGAGTTTTTACCAAAAAATATGGTATTTTACATGTTAGTACCTATCAAGTAGTCACCATTTGTTGACTCCCTTGTCATTTCTTAAAATAATGGAGTAAATATCATGAGTGAGCAACTCGAGGGAAACAGAGATTCCGACTGTTTAGGGCCCTGGTAATTTTGGCCAAAGCACAGGTGATCCTGAGTCAAGAAACTCAGCTGGGCTCAGTTCCCCAAAGCTGCCGTCCTCCCCTCAGCGCTGTGTCAGCCTGGGAGCGTGGGAGCGTGGGAGCGTGGGAGCGTGGGAGCGTGGGAGCGGGTATCACACCCTGGGCAATCAGGGGAGGGCAGGGATGATGTGTAAGGACAACCCCTTGAAGCAGCTTTGGGCAAGGCACACCCTCTTTGCCCTACCCAAAAATATTTTCCTCCATATTGCCAACTTTTTTTTTTTTTTTTAACAAATTTGTTACATGGCCAACTATTTCATTTGGAACAAGAGGTATCTTTTTTAAGCCAGCAAGCATGCTGTGGCCTCCTTTCGTCTTCCCTGCTCCACATCCTGGTCTCATCCCTCCCGCAAGGCTTAGCTCAAGCAACACCTCCCTCTGAGAAGGGATTGTTCTGCTTGCGACTGCCCACGGCACACAGTCTGGCTCACAGCATGATCATTTATGATCCCTGCTGGCCTGTGAACCCTGCGACCATACAAGCCTTGGCCTATCCATCCTCACACCCAGACAGGAGCCGGCACCTGTGCAGACAGGCAGGTATTCTGCAGGAACTACATCCGAGGGGCATGTCTTTCAGATCTCAGTAAGAGGCAACCAGCTCTGCTTTCCTCCCACGACCCAGAAGAGGTCAAGGCGCTCTCAGTGAACATGGGGGTGGGGGAGCGGCGGTAGGCGATATGAACACACAGAACCTTTTGTAAGAGGTGATGGGAAAAGAGCACAGGAAGGAAGTTGGACCAAAGGTAAACCAGGGCTGTGTACACACTTGTTACCTAGGAAAGGGGCAGAACATTTTTTCTCAATCTTCTTCTGTCTCCTGCATTGTATGGCCCTTTGCTCCCAGCATTCAGAACACCAGCTAATGTGACTGCAGTTTAAAGCCATGTGTTAAAGAGAGTTTGGTGTCCAGCTGGAGTGCACCCCACCCTTTGATGAGACATCTTTGTGGTTCCACGCTATTGATTTAAACGTATTTTGGAAATAGATTGGCTTGTACTAGAAGAATGCTTGCAAATTGACTAGAACTACCCAACAAACTATTTGTGATGTTAAATTTATTTATTGATTTGTTGTTTTTTTAAATCCTCACCTGAGGATATCTTTTCTTTTATTTTTAGATAGAGTGGGAGGGAGAGAGAGGGGGAGAGAGAGAAAAACATTGACGTAAGGACACATTGACTCATTGCCTCCCGCACAACCCTGACCAGGGCCGGGGATAAACCGCAACCAAGGCATGTGCCCTTGACTGGAATCGAACCCGCGACTCTTTGTTCTGAGGGCCGACGCTCTAACCGCTAAGCCAAACCGACCAGGGCTGTGATGTTAAATTTAAATGGAAACTCATGAAATCTTTTCAGATCAAATCGTAACTTATCTTCTTTTTTGTCTCCTCTCAGGAAAATGGCAGACAGTTTTTCGGTAAGTGTTTTATGTCTGTTTTCCTACATTCTGACCCCTTGTAGGTGAAGAGTTTTGTTTTTAACACCAGACTTTCCCTTCTAGCTCTCACACCATGTGCCTTTCTCTGGCCTCCCCTGTCCAATGAGGGCTTGTTGGCCGGAGTCTTGTTTTTCTAGCAACAGATTTGGGGAGAAAGCCAGGTAGAGAGAGGCCTGGGGCTCACTAAGAACAACCCCTTTACTAAAAGGCCTGGGACAGAAGCGGGTGGATTCCATGGACCAAGAGCTGAGAAACAAGCTGAGCAGTGGAAAGTGTGGTACAGTCCGAGCATCTTGATTTTTGTGATTGTTTTCCTCATGTTAATTAGAAAATATGTTTTTTTACATAGAGGATGGATAGCTCTGATTTCAGCAAATTACGAAAATGCAACCCTCCACAATATGAGATGATGGGAGACACATACTGATGAAGAATATATAAGCCCAAAGTCAAATTTTAGTCTTTGGAATTCAAAACGATTTAATGGGGGGGAGTGTCATAGATATGAATGTCATGCCTTCCCCATATGCCTCCACTTCGTAGATCTCTTATTCTTGTTTTCCTGAAAATTCTGTTTTTGTGAATGTTTTTCATCCAAGAATTGTTTATATCTTTCTTTACAGCTTAATGATGCCCTTTCTGGGTCTGGGAACCCAAACCCTCAAGGATGGCCTGGTCCATGGGGAAACCAGCCTGCTGCTCCAGGAGGCTACCCTGGGGCTGCCTATCCTGGGGCATACCCCGGACAGGCACCTCCTGGCGCCTACCCCGGACAGGCACCTCCTGGGGCCTACCCCGGACAGGCACCTCCTGGGGCCTACCCTGGACAGGCACCTCCTGGCACCTACCCCGGACAGGCACCTCCTGGCGCCTACCCTGGTCCTACAGCACCTGCTTATCCCGGACCAACTGCACCAGGAACCAGCCCTGGACAACCAAGTGGGCCTGGGGCCTACCCTGGTGCTGGCCCCACTGGTGTCCCTGCTGGACCACTGGTAAGATGGAGTTAGTCATTTCATGTACTTGATTGTGACTAGGACAAAGCTAATGAAGAACACAGCACCTGCCTGGGTCTGTGGTGCCATCACTTTGCAGTGCTCTGGCTGGGAGCTGATTCTGGGCACTCACCTGCAGCGGACCTTGGGGGCACCTGAAGCTTTAAACTCACTGCTCATGGCCACTTTTTCTAGTTTTGAAAAACCTTCTATAGATAATTTTGTGATCCAGGGAATGAATTTTCACTTAAGTTAAAACACATTTCGTAAAGAAATTCTAAGTGCAAAACCTTAACTCTGTAGGGCTCCAGACACATCTCAGACATAGACCTGTCCCTTCCAGACGCACAGTCCAGCCGGGAAATAAGCAGGTGTGAGGAAGGAGTTCAGTAACGGCCGGGATCAGACCCTTTCGGGACTATGTAGAAGATGGCACAGGTGGCATCTGATCTGCTTTGAGGTCAGCTCAGAGGAAAGTGCAGAGAAAGCCCACAGACGGTTCGCTCCTTGCAGATGGAGGGGGATGTGGAGACAATGGCAGGGAGAGGCAGCTGGAGGAAAGATTGCACAGGAAGAACCCCAGGATCTGCTGGTTAAGTCTTAGGAGTCAGAGATGACTGGCTTTTCAAGAAGAGACAACTAGGGCACCAGTCAAGGGTGAGCCCTGACTGGTAGCTCAGGAAGGGGACCGGTAGGGGAGGGGAGACAATTCCAGTTCATACCTCTTGAACTGGCAGCACCAGTAGCAAATCCAGAAGGAGGAAGTACAGGACTAGTACAGATCAGGGCTAGAGATCAAAGATGTGGATGATGGTTGGACCCAGGGTGGAAGATTGTAAAGGGAAAAAAGAAGAGGCCAGCGATGGAGCTTTGGGAGTATCTACAGTACCTGGAACATAAGTATTTACGGAATGAACTAGGAAATGTACGTATTCACTGGGAGGTGTTCATTCCACAAATATGGAGTATCTGCCACACACTAAGTACTCCGCTGGTGCTCTGAGTAAAACATAGGAGAACCCAGAAGCCCAAGAATGTGACATGATGAAGTATGTTAGGTGACAAGGGTCTTCAGAGTGGCACAGAAATGTTAATGTTGGTTGCAAGGTCTGGCTTAAGCCCTTTCAAAATAAAGTCTGAGTGAATGAGTTATAGAGTGGGTTAGCCCTAGTAATAAGAGCTGCCATGCTCCCAAAAGGACGATGTTCTGCCTTTGGCGCCAATTAACTGATGGCTTATTCTCCATTAGTAGCTGTGCATGCAGGAGCCCTATCTTTTAGGCCCTGGGCAAGGTGGCCCCGGAGCCTGGACAGATGGCTTAAATTAGGGTCGTGTGTTATTCACACATATTAATAGTGATTGAACTTTAACAACATCTTTTTCTTTCCTTCCCCAAGAAAACATGACTCGTTATTGATACACATATCTTCTTTTCATCCCCAGACGGTGCCTTATGACCTGCCTTTCCCTGGAGGAGTCATGCCTCGCATGCTGGTGACAATTATGGGCGTAGTAAAGCCCAATGCAAACAGGTAAAGAGCAAACTTTAAAAGTCGGACATATATGTTGATTGGTTTTTGAATAGAGGCTGATCTATTTCGAAATGTAAGAGAATTTCTAAAACTACCCATTTAGTCTCGGCTCTTTCATAGTATGGCATTATCCCATCACTTAATACATGTTCCCACCCTGGGGACAAGTTTTCTCTCGCTTAATCTTGTTTTTCTCCCAAAACCTGAATACAACAGAGTTCTGTATTGTGGGGACAAGGAGGAAGAACAGAAAAATAGAACCTTGGTAATGTCCTGTTTGGCCATCCCTCCACCTCTGAACCTTAGTGTCTAAAAAACCAAGCATGAGCTTTATGTCTAGATGCCCATCAAAAATGAGGCTCCCAAACCAAAGATCCCACTGGACACGGTGGTGAGTTGCTCTGAGAGCTCGAATATTATCCCACTGTGTCCTCATACACAGGCCAGGTCACAGCGCAGTCTCAGCTCGAGCTCGGCTGCCATGGCCGTCTGCACACCGGCTGCGACTGCAGAGTCAGAGTCCCACAGTGTTGGCCTGGTCTACAGATGATAAACGGCAGGATGGGGACCTCCCGTCTTCTGAGTAGTCGCTGCTTACTTAAAGGGTTTTAAAAGATTTTACAAGTTAAAGACTTTGTCAAAATAAGTCAAACCTTGCCACGGGAACTGGTTTGATTGAGGTGAGCTAGAATGGGGTAAGACTTTGAGCTACTTTAGGAAAGTCCGTGCTGATTTATGGCTGCCCTGGGACACCTGGCTCTGGTGACCACCCCTGGCTATGCTTACATTAATACAGACAGGCTAAGGATATCCTGAAGCCCTCCAGTATGCCTGACCCTGATATCAGTGGTACTACTAAAGCTCTGGTATTATAGACAGTATGCAAAGGATACAAATCCAGCCTATGTACACAGGTTTCTTTAAGGATCCACAAACAGTCTCTGTGAGTATCTGTCACCTTGCTCCTGGTGAAGCAACAGGCACCACCTCCTTTGTTACCAGATGGACTGGCTTCTGATTTAACTCTTTGACATTCAAATAGCCCATTTGCTCCAACCTCTAGCCAGCCCCTTCTGGCTCTAGTCCATAGCTGTCACTATACCAAGCCAACTCTTCTTTCTATAGGGCCTATACAGCTTCTCTAAACAGTACTTCCCTGCATAGTAAAGCTTATCAAACAGCAAATTATGAAACATATGTATCCTCCGCCTATGTTCTTATCCATTTTTCCTCCCAACGTAACATAGAACCCAGTACACCTTATTCTGTGAACACAGCACTCACAATGTGTTCATTTCTGCTCCCCTTCTCCAACCCCTCTCACACAGAACGACACTGGTATCTTTGCCTTTATTTAGGGTTATTGTATTGGAAACTTTAGCTCCAATTACACTAGAGATATAGACTGAGACAGTGGCAGATCAAAACTAATTTGGGCCCTGGCCAGTTTGGCTCAGTGATAGAGCATTGGCCTGCGGATCAATGAGTCTCGGGTTCGATTCTGGCCAAGGGCACGTACCTCGGTTGCTGTTCGTCCCCGGCCCTGGTTGGGGTCGTGCGGGAGGCAGCCGGTCGATGTGTCCCTCTCACACCAATGTTTCTCTCTCTCTCTTCCTTCCTCTCTCCCTCCCACTCTATCTGAAGATAAATAGAAAAATATCCTCAGGTGAGGATTTAAAAAAAAACTTATTTGGTTGAAATGGTCAAGGTGACAGCAAACTGAGAGAGTGTTGCTTGGTCCTACACATTCTATAGAAGGAATTAGAAGAAAAAAGAATGCTTAAGGCGGTAGAGACGACAGTTTTCCCTGCAGAGGAAATACAGCCAAATGGAAATTTAGTCAAATACAATTTCTGTTGCCATTTTGGTCCTTTCCCTGTAAATACATTTGTGGTTGGGTCTGTTACTGGGTGAATCCAAATACCCAGGGAGAGGACTTCCAGTCAAGATGGCGGCGTAGGAAACGCGGTATCCGTCCTCCCACAACCACATCAAAGTTACCACTAAACTACAGAACAACCATCATTCAAGCCGAATGAAATCAAACTGAATGAAAGTCCTACAGCTACGGAATTAAAGCAGCAGCCACATCCAGACTGGTAGGAGGGGCGGAGGCGGACGGGCTGGTCCCACACCCACGTGTGGCGGATAAAAATCAGGAGGACACCTCGGCTGGGAAGGTCCTCCCTGAGGACTGAAGGGTCCCCGTCCCACACTAAACACCCAGCTCAGGGTTCCCGGGCCAGGAAGAGAAGTCTCCATAACTTCTGGCTGGAAAAACCAGCGGGAACTGAGGCTGAGGGTTGTGGAGCCCCAGGCAGCTCCTCTTAAAGGGCCCGCGCACGGACTTATCGGACTCACACCCTCCAGGCTCCAGCATGGGGAAGGCAGCTTGAAAGGCACCAGAGACATATGGGGAAGAACTGAGTTGTTTGGCACTAGAGCGAGGGCTGGAGAGTGGGCTTTCTCGGGGACAAATGTGCTGTCAGAGGCCTTTGTTCCTTTGGTGAGCCCTTCCCTGGGGCAACAGACAGTCGCCATATCTGGGACTCCAGCAACCTGGCTCACACTGGTAGCCCCGCCCTGGTGATTCCCTGAGGCCCCGCCCCACCCAACTTTCAGACCCACCCAAGCTGTTGCCAGTGGCTTTACCATAGGATTGGCCTGTCTTGGATCCTGCTTCAGGTTTTCCTAAATTCTTTCAAACAAGCAGCATCTGGTCTCAGATAGCCCCATACCTCTCGTTAAGTTATATACAGAAACAAACACAGGGAGGAAGCCAAAATGAGGAGACAAAGAAACAGGTCCCAAATGAAAACATAGAACAAAACCCCAGGAAAAGAACTAAGCGAAATGGAGATAAGCAACCTAACAGATGCTGAGTTCAAAATATTGCTTATAAGGATGCTCAATGAACTTAGTGAGAACTTCAGTGAACTTAGTGAGGGCCTCAAGAGCATAAAAAAGGACCAGTCAGAAATGAAGGAGGCACTAACTGAAATAAAGAATAATTTACACAGATTCAATAGTAGAGTAGGTAAAGCCAAGAAGCAAACCATCAATTTGGAATATAAGGAAGCAAAAAACACCCAATCAGAACAGCAAAAAGAAAAAAAAATCCCCCCAAAAAATGAGGCTAGTGTAAGGAGCCTTTGGGACAACTTAAAGCATTTCAATATTTGCATCTTGGGGGTGCCAGAGGAGAAGAAAGAGAACAAGAAATCGAAAACCTGTTTGAAACAATAATGGCAGAAAACTTCCCTAACTTGGTGAAGGAAACAGACATACAAGTCCAGGAAGCACAGAGTCCCAAACAAGGTGAACCCCAAGAGGCCCACACCAAGACACATCATCATCAAAATGCAAAAGGTTCAAGACAAAGACAGAATCTTAAAAGCAGCAAGAGAAAAGCAGTTAGTTACCTACAAGGGAGTTCCCATAAGACTGTCAGCTGATTTCTCAAAAGAAACTTTGCAGGCCAGAAGGGAGTGGCAAGAAATATTCAGAGTGATGAAAAGCAAGAACCTACAACCAAGATTACTCTATCCTGCAAAGCTGTCATTTAGAATTGATGGCCATATAAAGAGTTTTCCAGACAAGAAAAAGCTAAAGGAGTTCATCACTACCAAACCATTATTATACGAAATGTTGAAGGGTCTTCTTGAAGAAACAGATAAAAAATATGAACAAACAGAATGGCAATGAATACATATCTATTGACATTTGAATCTACAAACAAAATGAACAAGCAGAGCAGAAACATTCTCATAGATACAGAGAACTTTGTGTTGGTTGCCAGATGGAGGGGGGTTGGGGGGATGGGTGAAAAGGGTGAAGGGTTAAGAAGTACAAATTGGTTGTTAGGCTGACAAACCTCAAAGGAAAGGGGTTGGGGGGTTGGAAGATAAACCAAAGAACTTATTTGTTATATGCATAACCAATGGATACAGACAACAGTGTGGGGAAAGGCAGGAGGGGGGATGAGACTGGGGAGGAGGGGGGTCAGTAGGGTAAAAATGAGGAACATCTGTAATACATTCAACAATAAAGATAAATTTAAAAAATAAATAAATAAAATAAAATAAAAACAAATACCCAGGGAATTGTCGTTAGTAGGTCAGGAGTGCAGATTCTGCTTTAAAACAAGAGCACTAGCTGATTCCAACATTAGTGCTCTATGGAGCACACTTTGAGAAACTGGGGGATAGGGTTAGTACTTCAGCAGTCAGAGAGCTGTATTTGTACTAACGCCCAAGGAGAAGGAACAGGGTCAGAAAGTTAAGCCAGCACTTGCGTTAATTCCACTTCACGTCAGGGAAAGTTCAACACATTTACTGTCATGGTTTTACGACTCAGCAACAGGAAACTGAACATTAACTATGCAATCTCATTCTTTCTGTTTTAGACCTAGGTTTTTGGTTAACTAGGAGGAAGCCAGGAATTTGATCTCTTACTTATGTGACTGGCTTGCCATCAATCGCTATTAAAGGCAACCGGGCAGAGCAGGAAGGAGGTAACCGTTGTCATCTGCAGTGGAAAGCATACATGTCCTCAGAGGGGACTCAGACCTCTATAAGGAAACCTTGAAGGGTTTTCATGAGCAGAGGGGTCAAGAGGGAATTACAGCTGAAGAGAATGATGTGACCAAAGACAGAAGCAAAACAATTCAATACATACTGTCTTGTTTACTTTTGGTATTTTACTAATACTTGGCCTAGTATCCAGTTTGAACCCATTCTCTGGTTTGTTTTCTGTGTAGAAGATTTTCCTGTATCTTATCAAATGATTTGCTCTTTAGAAAATCATGTGTTCTTCACTTGATACAAATACACAGCTTGAATCATTTTACTAACTCTGGTCTTTGGTTTAAACAGACTTGTTTTAGATTTCAAGAGAGGGAATGATGTCGCCTTCCACTTTAATCCACGTTTCAATGAAAACAACAAGAGAGTCATTGTTTGCAATTCAAAGATGAATAATAACTGGGGACAAGAAGAAAGACAGATGGTTTTCCCATTTGAAAGTGGGAAGCCATTTAAAGTAAGTTATTGCTGTTATTATTTATTGATAATGCATATTGCTCATGGGGAAATCACTCTAAAAACATGGTGCACTTAAAATGAATTTTGGTCAGCTGTCCTGGAACACCTAACCAGCTCCTCCCCATCCCAGGGCCCAGGAGCAACAGACTCCCCAACTCCATCCTACTACCACCCCTGAGTTTAAGCTTTTCTGGAAATGAGAAAAATAGCATCTTTTTTTTTTTTTAAATCCATACCCAAGGACGTTTTTCCATTTTTTTGTTCACGTAGAGTGGGAGGGAGAGAGAGGAACAGAGAGAGAGAGAGAGAAACATCGACGTGAAAGGGACACATCAAGTGGCTGCCACCCGCACAACCCAACTAGGGCTGGGGACAAACTGCAACCAAGGTACATGCCCTTAGCGGGAACCAAACCCTGGCCTCTCTGGACCGCAGGCCGACGCTCTAACCGCTGAGCCAAATCGGCCAGGGCAAAAAATAGCATCTTTAATAAAAAAGGCAGAATGTCTCAGTTGGAGACTTAGTTCCTTAAAATACATAGTGACATGGCAATCAAAACTACAAAAAATTTTAATTAAAAAATTTTTAATTTAAAAATAAATTACAGTTGACATTTAATACTATATTAGTTTCATGTGTACAGCATAGTTAACATTTTTAAATTATAAAATTAATACATGCTTATGAAAAGAAAAATGTATAGATTTTTTAATTAACTAAAAAGTCCTCCATCCTTTACGTCCCGAAGGCTGCAACTTGGTGAATATCTTTCCAGTATTTTTTATGACATACAATACACTTTGTATTTTTAAGCCCTGCTTCACCACATATTTATCAGGTTCACAGGGTTAGGTTAGATTAACTGTAGAGTGGGCAATAAAGCAGCGAGGCTATAAGCCCCTCAAGAGCAGAGACAAATAGGGACCATATTCTACATTGGGTGGACATCTTTCAGTACCAGAACATAGTTAATAGTACTCCATTGTTTAGATATGTGATAATTCAGCCAGTACTCTATTTTTTTAAAATATGTTTTTATTGATTTTTTAGAGAGAGAGGGAGAGATAAAAACATCAGTGTGAGAGAGGAACATCAATCAGCTGTCTCCTGCACGCCCCCTACTGGGGATTGAGCCCGAAACCTGGGCATGTGCTCTGACTGGGAATCAAACCAGGACCTCTCAGTCCATGGGACAACGCTCAATCTACCGAGCAACACCGGCTGGGCTCAACCAGTACGCTACTGATGGAAATTTGGAAATATTACAAATAAAACCTGGGAAGGTTTTATTTATTTTATTAAAACGCCAAACTAACTTTGCTTATTCTTCTTTGCTTTCTAGACAAATAATTTTATTTAAAGAATATACCTGTTTAAAATTTAGATATTGCCAAAGTGCTACTTCTGAAAAGATGTAAGGATTAAACATCCACTAACTACTGGGAGACTATGTTTTCCCTTCTCTTGCCAAAAGTGATCATTATCCTTCTTCATAACATTTGCCACTCTATTAGGGAATTCCTAATTTAGTGTTTATTTTTATTTTTACTTTTAGGCACTTTAGGCCATATGAAAACTTTTTATGTAGACATGTTATTTATGTAGTCACATATATTTATGTAGACATCATTTATTCCTTTGTGGCTTCAACTATATGCCTTCTAAAAATTTTGTTGTTGTTATTAATCCTCACCCGATGATATTTTTTCCATTGACATTTAGATAGAGTGGAAGGGAGAGAGAGAGAAACATCAGTGTGAGAGAGACACATGGATTGATTGCCTCCTGCATGACCCCAACCTGGGGATCAAACCTGCAACCCAGGTACATGCCCTTGACCGGGAATCAAACCTGAGATTCTTTGGTCCATGGGCCAACATTCTAATTGCTGAACCAAACCAGCCAGGGCCCTTCTAAAAATTTTGTCATTTTTTGTTTACATCTTTAAATAGTCTGGAGTTTATTTTTGCTGTAAAGTTACTTTTTCAGGACTTTGATCAGTTCCACAAATGATCATAAAGATGAAATATGGACACCCTGAACTCAGGACAGACTGGTTTTGAAATTAATGGGCATTTCTAACAGTTTTGTGTATGTGCCATTTCAGATACAAGTGCTGGTTGAATCTGACCACTTCAAGGTTGCAGTCAATGATGCTCACCTGTTGCAGTACAATCATCGGATGAAAAATCTCAGGGAAATCAGTGCATTGGGAATTTCTGGTGACATTGATCTCACCAGTGCTTCCCATACTATGATATAATCTCAAAGGGGCAGATACTCTTTTAAAAAATAAAACAATGTAAACCTTACCCATTTAAAAGTTTCATGTTCACTAGAAGTGAAAATGTTTACCTTTATTCAACAACATCCTTCTTGTAAATCATCCATTTAATAAATATTCTGAGAGTTACCTGTTTATATATCATTTAATTGGGGCAGTTTATTCTTGATAATGAATAATGGACTCAATGGTAAAATAAATATGTAGCCATATTAATATTGGATTAGAGCCTCCCAAATTTTCTTTACATTTTATTTATTTATTTATTTATTTATTTATTTATTTATTTATTTATTTATTTATTTATTTATTTTTATCCTCACCAGAGGACATTTTTCCATTTTTTGTTCAGATAGAGTGGGAAGGAGAGAGAGGAAGAGAGAGAGAAACATCCACGTGAAAAGGACACATCGAGTGGCTGCCTCCCACACAACCAACCAGGGCCAGGGACAAACTGAAATCGAGGTACATGCCCTTAGCGGGAACCGAACCTGGGTCTCCCTGGACCACAGGCCGATGCTCTAACCGCTGAGCCAAACTGCAATATACTTTTAAAATATTTTTAAGGAAATAGGAATAAATACTACCCAAACATTAATCTTGCTCTTTCATAAAAAGAAGAAAATCATTCCCCTGTTTATTCACCTAAGAAAATAAAATATATTCTGGAAATGAGAAAAGTAGAAAGACTTTATCCATAGATGCTCTATGACCCATAGGCAATTACTGTTAGTATTCTGGTATAGTTCTTTTGACTCTTTAAAAAAATTTTTTTAATCCTCACCAGAGGTTATTTTTCCAAATATCTTCAGATAGAGTGAGAGGGGGAGGGGGAGAGAGAAAGAGAAACATCAATGTGAGAGAGACACATCAATTGGCTGTCTCCTGCATGACCCCCACCAGGGCCAGGGATGAACTGCAACCAAGGTACGTGCCCTTGGCCGGAATCAAACCCGCGACTCTTTGTTTCTTGGGTCGACGCTCTAACCACTGAGCCAAACTGGCTAGGGCTCTTTTGACTCCTTTTAATCCTATTTTCTCTCTCTAAACTCTACCTCACTGCTTTTAAATCAGTTTTGGAGATCAACGCTAAGCTAAACTATCTCCCACAGGTTTTCTTTAAAAAAAAAAAAATATATATATATATATATTAATATATATATATATATATTAATATATATATATATATATTAATATATATATATTGATTGATTTTTAGAGAGGGAGAGGGAGAGAAACATTGACCTGAGAGTGAAACATTGCTGCCTCCTGCACACACACCCCTACTGGGGATCGAGCCTATAATCTGGGCATGTGCCCCAACAGGGAATTGAACCAGCAGCCTCTTGGTGCATGGGACGACACCCAACCAACTAAGCCACACTGGCCAGGGCTCTTGGTTTTTATAAAACCTCCAGATTTATAGGAACGTGGGTGAGTAGGTTCTCTATCAGATATATAATCAGCTTTAAAAATTTAATCGTTCCCATTGTCAACATTCTTAACTTTCTGCCCTTCTTATCAACAAACCCAAATAAAATTTCAAAATGAGGATGTAGTCATACCACTTCATATTATAAAAGACCAAAATATTATTTATTTCCTATTATACCGTCTTCTCAAATTGGTCATTGTCACAGGTTGGGTTCCCCGGGAAGCAGAGATTAGAGTACAAGAAGTTTGTGAGGGAATGCTCTTGCGACCAAGAGCTGTGGGCACAAGAAGGTCCACAGTGGGGCAGAGGGAGAAGTTGAGCATTAATGCCTCAGCCTACCCTACAGGGCTCTGAAGCTGGGATGACCCTTCAGAGCAGTCAAGAGGCAAACAGGTGCTTATATCTTCACTTCAGTCAGTGAATGCAGGCCACCTGGGAAACATCGTGACTTTGAGAGAAGTAGCTCTCTTCACCTGAGGCAGTTCTCATGTTGGGTGATAACTGAGGGCCACTTGTACTTGCAGCAACTGAAGTCCCTTCAGTACTTTGGGGGGATGTGAGCAGCATATTCCAGCCTATTTCAAAAACTGTAAATTCCTTACCCTAACATTCTGGTCTTGATGGTTCTACTCCTATGATTAAATGGAAGAACATAAGCTTTGGAGAAAAGAGGAAGCTTGGTTTATACGAAATTACTTGAACCCTCTGACTTGGTTCCTTCGTCTATAAAATGGGTGATAAATCTTTTTGTAGGGTTACTGTGATCACTGAATAAACATTGTTTGCAAAGGGGTTTTTATATAGTAGGTCCTCAATAAATGAAAATTCCCTTTCTTTCGATTTTAAGGTCTTGTTCTACCCAAGCAGTTTTTTCATTTTTTTCTTTAAGGATTTTCCCAATACCTCATAATTCTGGAGTCCAATAGCCCAAGAACACTCTATCTAGTTGTAGGGACACTGATAGCTGCCTACACAAAATCCAAAAGCTTTCTAAATGATTCAGTAGTACCTCTTATTAAACTTACCCTCATAGATTCTAAGTCTTGGGTTACTTTGTACCAACCTCTTTTACATGTTTATGGCCCTGGACCCTTTGAAAACCCTAACTTTTATATATACTTCTTTTGTTCTTCATGTCTTGCTTGAATTGTTTATTAACAGGCTGTTAATGAATAAAAGCTTTTTTTTTTTTATCCTCACTCGAGGACATTTTTCCATTTTTTTGTTTTTAGATAGAGTGGGAGGAAGAGACAGAGAGAAACATCAATGTGAAAGGGACATATCGAGTGGCTGCCACCCGCACAACTCAACGAGGGCCGGGGACAAACTGCAACCGAGGTACACGCCCCTAGTGGGAACAGAACCCCGGTCTCTCTGGACCGCAGGCCGATGTTCTAACCACTGATCAAAACCAGCCCGGGCTAAAAGCTATTGTTATCGTTTGGTAAGACTTTAGGCTTTTAGAGAAGGTTCTTCTAAGTCTTACACAGCCTCCCAATTGCTCACATGAATTTAATAAATACTATCTTTCTCACAAGCCTAACACCCCTTCCTCTAAAAGAACATGTGTTTTCTTGTTTGAAAACCCCTAATCTTAGGGTGGTTATCCATAAAGTTCCTGCTTATTGGCCAACTCATTTGAAGGCAGAAATAACTGGATCCACGTCTGGTTATAAGCATTAGCTACTCTGAATCTTCTTGGTGCTCTGTTATTCTGATGGCCCTGCTTTCTACAAACCCACAGGTCAGAGTTTTATACAAGAGGAAATAGTTCAAGCACATTAAGTGATTGACGTAATTCTCTTCAAAGGAAGAAGGCATTTCCTTCAAAGCCTGTCAGTCATGAAAAAGGAAAGAATTTAATGGGCACCTAGCCAACCACTTGAAACTGCAACATGTGAACTGGCATCAGAATCCAGAAAGCTCATCTCAAGAAATTTAGTATACCCTGGAAAATGAAATATGCAAAGCTGTTTGACATCGACAAATTCAGAAGTTCAAACTTAAAATTAAGCATGAAAGCATACAAATATTTCTGTCTAAGTTTAGTATTACATTTTGATTATGTTGAAGAATATTCATAAGCTTTGAGTAGGTGTTCTTATCTTTAAGCTTATACACTTTAAAGAAGAAAGGGCATAGTATACTTCTTTATCGGTACTCTTTTTATTTTGCATGGCTGTTGTACAAAATATCCCCACTTCCCTTGAAGAAAAACAGTATCATACCTAAAACACACTTTGATGAACACTGAATATTAAAATATTACACGACACCATATAAATGGGTTGAATAGAAATAAACAAAAATACACAGTCTTCAACCCTTTCAATATTCTATGAACATACCACAGCATTGATAATATGAAGGAACATGTTTGAAATGTTTTTAAATTCAAAATTCTTCTGGTTGTTCTGCACCGAGGGGCCTTAGAGGTGAAAAGGCAATCAGGTTACCACCAAAAGAAACATGTTTGGCATAATCTTGATGTCTCCTTGCCACAGGAGTGAACGGATTACTGCAGTTCAGGCCTGTCTAGAGAAGAAACAGAGAAGTCACTTAAGGAACCATCAAGCGTTTCACCAACTGACTTCAACATTGCAAATTAATAGTAAATTAATAATGTAAATAACATTTCCCCATATAACAATAAAATTATTAATAACAATGATTGTGCAACTTTCTAGCAGAAACTATTTCAAATAGTTTTTTATTTAAAAGGTATATTAAAAATATATGCCAAGCCTGACCAGTGTGGCTCAGTGGTTGAGCATCGACCCATGTACCAAGAAGTCTCCAGTTTGATTCCTGGTCAGGGCACATGCTCAGGTTGTGGGCCTGATCCGCAGTAGGGGGCATGCAGGAGGCGGCCAATTGATGTTCTCTATCATCGATGTTTCTATCTCTCTCTCCCTCTCTCTAAAATCAATAAAGAAAAATTATTTTAAAAAATAAATAAATAAAAATAAATGCCAAAAAAGGTGATTTAGTAATAGGCAAATGCACTTCAGCAGCACACGCACATGGAATAAAATTGAGGCCACATCTTAAGTCACATATGCAGAGTACACAAACCTACTCTCATCATTAACAGCACTTAATAGACCTTTAACTAGAATGTGACGCTGCTGGGATCCTTTTTCTTTGTTCTCCCCCTAAACCCTACTTCAGGTTCAAATGATGCTATAGTATAAGTAATATTTTGGTCTAAAATAGACAGATGAGCCCATAAAATGTATTTATTTATTTATTCATTTATTTATTATTTAATTAATTCATTTTTGTTACAGATGTTTCCCTTTTTCCCCCACTGATTCCCCCCTCCTTCTCCCTCCCCATCCTGTCCCCAGCTTTGTTGTCCATGTCCATTGTTCATGCATACATGCATATAAGTTCTGTGGTTCATCCCTCCCCACCACCTCTCTTCTGGGGATTGTCAGTCTGTACCCCACTTCCAGTCTCTGGGACTACCCCATTCCTCAGATCATGTGATATTTGTCTTTCTCTGCTTGGCTTGTTTCGCTTGGGATAATACTTTCCAGGTCCCTCCATGTCATCTCAAAGGATAAGAGATCTTTCTTTCTTAGAGCTGCACAGTACTCCATTGTGTATATGTACCACAGCTTTTTTATCCATTCGTCTACTGATGGACACTTGGAACCCATAAAATTTAAAAATATATATAATTGGTAAT